AAGTTTTTGTTTCATCTATCTTTTCATGTGGCTGCAAACGGGCTCCTTGTGGTTAACATCCTGGGGAGTATTCAGTATTCTTTCCAGTTTTAACATTACAAACCTGATATACAGGGTGGTTTTTGATTACAGGTAAGATTATATTATATGTTTATGGCACTTTTCCCCAAAAAATCATTTTCACACGCTTTAGTTTTTTGGAATTCCGAGAAAAGAGGCCCACCAAGGATGTAACCGAGTTGACTTGTCATTCATGTTGTAGCTGCTTTGTCGCTTGTTTTATTGTAATAAGTGTTGCTGTCACATTTGACTCATAACAATTTGTCGCTTTTTCCCAGTCGTTTGTTGCTCTTTTTTAGATAGTCTCTCGTCTCTTCTTAAGGAATGTCGCCTAGCTGTCGTCATAACCCCTTGGTGGGCCTCAGAAACAGGTTTATTTGAGCTGGGGTTTTTTTTCAAAATAAAACGACATGGTTAAGTTAACTATAAAGATATACCTCTATCATATATTTTGTGTCTTGTGCCCACCATGCATGCTTACATGGCATGCATGTTTGGATTTCTGATAAACATTTTGATCAAATCAGCACAAAATGAAATGGGATGATTGAAGACTTTCAGGGACTTTGCCCCTTTGCTACATTCGTGCGTCACAAAAACTGAATCTTCTTTTCTAAAACGGGGGTCAGCAATAGCGCTTGGATAAAGTCCTGGGGCCGGTTGTATAAAACTCTTAATCACTTTTTTAATCACTATTTTGTAGTTAAATAGTGATTAGCTCTCATTTAGGCGCTTCTTACTGGATGACGTTTCCACTTAACTACAGTTAACTTTAATCACTTTTTTATACAACCGGCCTCTTATTAGATCAGTTACGTCGACAACAAGGCAGAAGTGCATGCAAGGAATTGATGACGTCATCACGAAATATGTAGTAATATATACGTAATTTTTCAGAACCATCCTCGGAGAAATGCAACCTCGATCCCAACCCGCCCCCCCCGTATTTAAAGGTTTTGGTGCCCACCATCAGATTGTTGTCGGCGCAACATTGAAACGAGGGCCGCTACGCCTTTCAAATTGGGTGAAATTACAGCATATGAGTATGGCATAGTTTTTGGCAAAGATTGCAGGTGTTCAATGATTCTGCCTGAATTTTGAGGTTGACATCAAAATTTTCTGAAGTGCATATAATGTTATACATAAAATTTACAAAAGTGTAGTGTGTCTAGTGTTACGATACAGACATTAAAACTGGGCTAACAAGTGAACAAATAAACAATATGGCCTAAGACCTAAGTCATGATGACAACAACGGCAAAAACACGTGTTAAGGAATACTGAAAGAATTATCAAAGCTGACGTATATGTTATCCTCAAATATGAATAAGCCTAGCTAATAATTGTTTTAGTATTCATTTCAGAATCTGAACCGGCGCTGACCAGTGGGAGAGTTGGAATAAAGTTTGAATGTAGTTTATTTTTGTGCTTAGTACATTTCGTTATCCATATGATCTTGAACTATCATGCACTGTCAGTGTAGGCAGAGCCAATAATAACAAAGCTTTCGTTGGTAGGAATGCATCTACCTGAAAAATAACAAGGAGACATTCGACGTTTCGAGCGAAGGCCCTTCGTCGGGCATGCAGGTAGTTAGTTCCATCCCTACCAACGAAAGCTTTGTTATTTCGTTATCCATACCAGGTATTTTGGTGTATTCCATGTCTTATCAATATTCATCATCCTTGGCATCGGGTCAGATAATATATTCGTCTTCATGGACACATGGAAACAATCAGAAAAAGAGGAACACGAATTGCTAGGCAGGAGATTATCTCAAGTGTACAGACGTGCAGCTAAAGCAACGTTTATTACATCATTTACAACAATGGTTGCATTCTTGTCCAACGTCTCTTCACCTTTACTAGCAATCTCATCATTTGGTTTATTCTCGGCAATTTTAGTTATGATTAACTATCTATCTGTTATACTATTCTTACCAACCGTTATGATCACTCATCATGTCTACCGTAAAGGACGTTGCTGCTGTGGACCCATGTTTGGTCAACGTGTTGAGGGGGTTTCGTCATCCCGCAGTGGACAAAGCCTTCCTGAACATGTCCTAGAAAAGAAAAGTGCAACGCAGTATATTGTCGAGTTCTTTGAAGGATGGTTCTTTAGGAATATCATAAGCCACAAAAACATACGCTTGGTCGTGATTTGTATATTTGCGGTGCTTTTAGCAGGACTTATCGTGTTTGCAACAAAACTTAAGCCAGATGAAGAAAAGGTATACTGTATCTATAATATAATCTCAAACGCAAAAGTAAATCATGCATAAAGACTGAAATAAGCCATCTGTGTTGGTTTAGCTTAATTGCTCTCATTTGGTTATTGGACACTTGGAAAGTATATTGGTCCAGTACTAGAACTGTTAACTGTATCGAAATTAGTTCAGTCATCAGCATAGACCATAGTACCGGATCAATATTCGTATATATATAGTTAGTGATCGAGTGTGAGATGTATAAGTTATACCTTTTTGACCGCGATGAGTTGAACCATTACTTATCAGCTTTAACTTAAATATTTTAAAAGACTTAAAAGTAGCTTAAATTTATGATGTCTATGATCATACAATTTTTTAGGTGGAAATATGGGGAGCAAACACAAACTGGGGTAAAATCAAAGAACTTCGGAAAAATGAATTCCTTCCAAGTCAAGAAGACCAGGTGATAGTTGTGTATATAATTTGGGGTTTAAAAGAACAAGATCGCAGTGAGTGTCATCATACTGACTACACGTGCAAGGGAAAAACAGTCCTGGATAAAAGCTTAATTTGATCTCAATCCACCACCATGTCAAAATGCCATCCTTGTGAGTATTTGCCTTAAACTGGTTTGTGTATAGTAGCATGTATTTTTTCCCTGTTTTAATCGAAAATCTCTATCAACATCGAATTAAAGCATGCATGCAGAAGAGGATTTAGGTACCGGAGTAACGAATGCAGATTTGGACAAGGACGGAACAATGCCCTGATACATCCAGGGATACATCTATCACTATTTACGTGGATTTGATTGATATATGTTAGCAACGTTATCCGGGCTGTTCCGCTTATATTACGGGGCTGTCACGCTAAAAGTCAACACTAGAATGTTAGGGTTTGTAATCCAAGTGAGAATATGTACATTTTAAGACCTAACCAGGAACGACTGCGAAAATGCAGCACAAGGACACAAGGTCCTCTGGTAGGAATTGAACCTACGGCCCTGCGATTCCGGTGCAGCGCTCTAACCAACTGAGCTACAGAGGCCAGCTGTTGAGCGATAACCGTAAGTTCATGTATATATAGGTAATCGGGTGTTCATGTATATATAGATAATCAATACGACTTCCACAGGTACGGGTAAACAGCCTTTTCATCTAATTGTTGCATTTCTAAAATTTTAATTTCTCTAACGTATGACATAATCGCATAAAATAATGGATTTTAAAAGGGCAGTGTCACGGCCCTGATTGGCTAAAATAAATGGCGCAAAGAAACGTTTAAAATTAATGCCCCATGATTGGAAAAGATGCAGCAGCCTTCAATTTTTAAAACACAGCAAAGATGTCCTGCATAACGAAGGGATTGCAAATAGTATATCGTATTTTACGTATACTGCGGCACTTGTTCACGCTTTTATCATCAAAGTGAACAATTGCGGTCGTTGACAGATGGATGATAATGGAATAGTGTTGTTGTCATATATTTACTTGGAGCATGTAATATATATGGTTAAAACCTGATCCAATCATTGTTTATCAATACCATATTCGTTACTTTCAGCACCTTTGCAAGAAACTAAGAAACCTCCCAGCATCTGACGAGAAAAAATTGCATTTGCGCAGAAGCCAAGTGAACGGAGAAGTCGAAATTAACTGTGTATTTGAACGCATGAACGAGTACTTAAAGGTTTGTATTTAGTAGTCGTATACTTGTGGAAAATCATTGTTACATGCAGAATGTCTGCCATGCGAAACTACAGCGAAAACTTTCCGGAATGAATAATGTGGTTGTAGAGATCGGAAGACAAAAACAAATCTGTCACATATTTCAGGCGCCGGAAGCACGGTGTTATGTATAAGACACAAGTGACTAAATGACTGGAATCATGGTTTGTGTCGTCTTGTTGCTTCCATGAAGTTCATATACTGACCCCACTATACGATAAAAAACCACTATAAAAGTCATTAATCTTGGCGCCAAAAATAAATAATCATTAATCTTCACTTGACAGTTCAAAAGCATACGATTTCTGAGAACATCGGGTTGACGTTTCATGAAGTACGATGAAAATTGAAAATGGCGTACCATCATATAGGAGTATGGGGCTGATGCTTTCTGGCGGTGGGCAGTTGAAAGTTTGCCCAAATTCGTATAGTTGATTCTAATGAAATAACCTGAACATAACATCTTTTCTGGCACATCTGCTCGAATTTTCGTCATTTTTCCAACCATTTGCCCGAATTTCCATGCCCCCCCTGTCTCGTACGCCTATGTATACCATTCTAATTTAACATTTAGATGGTTTCGACTGCATGCTAAACCAATTTCTGTGACAACAGGCTTAATTATCGATATTTGTTTGATAGTAAAATGCTTACCGATAATATCTGTACGCATTTTACTTCATTTTGCATACATAATATGGTGTAATGACTCCGGCGCAGCTATAGGTATCTATAATTAAATGCTAACACACCATACAGTATGTCATGAGGGCTCAAGATCAGACCTCGTGTTCTACTCAGAGTCAGGTGCAGGTAAGTATCGGATAAATGTCAGTCCTTAGTGTAAACTGGGCCTGAGAGACTGAAGTTACCCCTATCGTCGTGAGCATCTACCTCGACAACCTTCTTTTAGACTATTTACCATGATAATTAATAATAAATGAAACCCTATAAATATATATTTACAGGAAGAAGGAAATAAAACCAAATACAAGGATGCAGACTTTAGTTTTCCATTGAATGGCGCTAAAATGAGGAAGCTAATGAAAGAAAATCCTCAATTCTATGATGTCTCTCTTCTCACTGACACTTACTATCGATATTTCGAGATTGGTGTGGGGCATTTTATTACACATGGTGGATCACTAAACTACGCAAACACTTACGACTTTAAAAAGTACAGTGGGATGTTAGCTGGCGCTCCTGATCCATCGAGTAATACAGCAAAGATTCGGTCACCGCAAGGTAATATATGTTGCAATTCAATAGACATTTCGTTTTCATGTGGTTATTTCCCAGCATCAGCTCCACCTTTGATTTATTATAAGTAATAGCATGGCATTCAGGGCGATTAGTGATTAAATGTACCCGAAAGCCGAGAGAGGTTTAGTAAAAGTCCCGAGGCGCCGAGGGACTTTTACTAAACCTCTCGAGGCTTGAGGGACATTTCATCACTAATCGACCGTAATGCCATGCTATTACGTTGTAATACCATAGTTGCCGAGGGAATCCGCGCTTGGTGTGTTGCCTGTTTTGAATGCTGTTTGATTGTCTTATGATTTTTTATGATGGCAATTGCTAGATAGTATACTTCAAAATAAGATTTCCATTTTTATATCAATTTTTAAAATAAGTTAGGGTTAGGTTAGGGTTTAGGTTAGGGTTTGGTTGAGGTTAGGGTGAGGGTTAGTATTAGGGTTAGGGTTTAGTTTTGCGTTAGGATAGTTTTTTCTACGTTATAAAAACGGAAACCTTATTTTGAAGTATACTATCTAGCGATCACCATGTTTACATTGTATCGGATCACTTTGCGTCCGACGCAAAAACCATACCGGATAGGGCTTCTGTTTACATATGAAATGTTGTAATCGTCTCAATTTCTGCAACGGACCGGTGGTGCGGCGGTTCACTCTTCGAAGTGGTGCACTGTGTATCGGATCGGTTTTTGCAACGCTCTCATTGCAATGTAAACACCAATCGGAGCAATTTTCGGTCCAATGCGTGACTCAAGATGGCATCAGGGAAACAAAGACTTGCTATTCTGATCTTATTTGCGGGTATAGCTTGCTCACTTATAATATTTTTGTATTTAGTTGGGCGAGGGTGGAAGCTGTTTACACTTGGGCCGTAACGTTTCGTGAACAAAGCAAAAACCGATCCGATACAATGTAAACATAGCCTTAGAAGACAAAAGCGTACCACCTCATTACCTCTGATTGGAGAGCTGTACCTCATCGAAAATTATCGGCACAACTATGGACAGTATTTGACGACACCGTCATAGAATAAGAAATGAATAGAAGTGCCACTCGAGTCGGAACCTTTGATGTAAATGGCGCCGCGCATGTCGCCTCGCGCATCTCGGCCGCCATCTTCCCAGCAAGTAAAAATGGAGGATTTTATATAGAGTTATTAGGG